AAATATATCTCTCAATGTCTCAGTCTCAGCCCCAAGCCAAAACCGGGGACTAATATCTCTCGTCTTGAAGATCTCTCTCACCAGCCGGTGAGTCTGATTGCTTATAAATATAAAAGTCTGACCTCTTAAAAAAATTTAAAAAAATTATATTGATATATATATAAATGATGGATATGATTAAGCCAATCGTTAAGGGATTTTCTAGATGGAATAAAGCCACGCTGCGCGATTACGTCCAGCGATATAATGTACCGTACGATCAAAATGTTGCTCTTACGCATAAAGTCTACATCAACGGGATAAAAAAATACGAAGCTCAATTTAGAAACTTGAGGAAAAAGAAGCTACATGAGCTCAAACAGATTGTAGACGATTATGATCTAGAATATAACCCGTCGGGTTATAAGGGTCGATTTTTGAAAAAAGATTTACTCTCGGCGATTCAAAACTCTAGGCAACCCGAGTATTTTCAAGAGGCTGAGTTTAGAGCGACGAGGAGATTTAGAAATAACTTTAGAAACTGGGAACTGATTCCTAGACTTTTTAACGACGATTTAGTCTAGTTTTTTGATACGCACAAAGATCAAATTGTAAATAAAATCAAGTCAGAATTGAGAGAGCTGAGAGGTTTAAAAATGGAGCTCACAATCAAAATAAAATACGAAAAAACCAAACCCGATGGTACGATCGAAACTACACATTTTACCGATCAGAGAGTCGTTTTAAATCAAAGTCAAATAAAACAGGTTTTAAAAGAAGACATCGACCAGATATTTAAAAAGGATGAAAGGTATACGAATCAAGGATCGGGTTGGGTTTTAAAAAAGATAATGGCGTTGTATATCAACATCAACAGGTTTAACCCCGTGAGAGGTAGTTCTTATATTGACCTACCAAAATGTATCAAACAGAAAACGGCGATGATAAACATTAAAAACAAAGACGACGAGTGTTTGAGATGGTGTTTGAGAGCCGCTCTTGGCTTGTATACGGATAAAGTAAAAAATAACATAAAAAACGATCCTAAATATAAAATTCATAAAGAAGAACCTGTTGTATACACCAAAGACGACGGACTCAAATTTAAAGGCGTAGATTTTCCAACACCGATCGACCAGATACCAAAGATAGAAAGACAAAATAATTTAACGATAAACGTATACGGTTATGAGGAGGAAATATATCCGTTATACGTGTCTAAAAACTATAAACCAGAGTCACGACCTATCGATCTGTTTTTGCTTTCTGAGGGCGACAAGCATCACTACTGCTGGATAAATAATTTTTCGAGATTGATTTACAACGTTACAAAACATAAAAGTAAGAAATATTTTTGTCGAAGGTGCCTGTGTCATTATAGAACGCAAGTAAAATTAGATAGACACATGACCGATTGTAACGGTATAGATACACATCCGTCAAAGATTGTATTTCCTACCGCTAAGCGAAAATATGTAAATAACGAGTGGATAGTCGACGAAAACGATGTGCCAATATTAGAATTTAAAAACTACAGGTTTAAACAAAAAGCACCATTTGTAGTTTACGCCGACTTTGAATCGATATTAGAAAAAAACTCGGACGATAAAAAGAACAACACGCAAAAGACAAACATTCACAAAGCTAGCGGTTATTCGTTGGTAGTAGTTAGATGCGACGGCACCAATGCGTATCAAGAGACTTATAGAGGTAAAGATGCCGCATCAACGTTTGTACATAAAATGTTAAAAATACAAAGCGACATAAATTGCATATTTAAAAAACCCCAACCCATGAAATTTAATGAGCGAGCTAAAGAACATCATGATACAACAAACACGTGTTGGATTTGCGAGAAACCAATTTATCCCAATTACTCGAGCAACTGTCAGTGCCAGAAACCCAAAAAACCAAAAACAGAAAAACAAATAAAAGAACATCAGTACGAAAACAAAAATGGATTTACAGAGTCTAAATGCCTCGAATGCAAAAAGAAAATCAACAAATTTAGAAAGGTGAGAGATCACTGCCACGTCACGGGTAGATATAGAGGTACCGCGCACGCCTACTGCAATCTAAAATTACAAGTTAAACCAGGTTTTACCCCCATACCAGTCGTCTTTCACAATCTGCAAAATTACGACGCTCACTTGATCATGCAGAGTATTTCAGAGTACGATGAAAAGGAAATACAAGTTATCGCTAGAAATTCAGAAAAGTATATTTCCTTTTCGATCGGAAATATGCGATTTATAGACTCGTTTAATTTTATGGCGTCTTCGTTGGATAGATTATCTAAAGCTTGTCCGAGAGAGTCGTTTAAACTACTCAGAGAACATTTTAATCGTCAAAATATCGACTCGTTGTTACAAAAAGGAGTTTATCCGTATGAATACATGGACTCGTTTAACAGATTTCAAGAGACCAGCCTACCCCCCATCGAACAATTTTACAGCAGACTAAAAGACGAAAATATATCGCGAGAGGACTACGACAGAGCTAAACTGACGTGGAACGAGTTTAAAGTTAAAAACATGGGGGAATATCACGATTTGTACGTCACTACCGACACGTTATTACTGGCATGCGTATTTGAAAACTTTAGGAAAACGTGTATTACAAACTACGCGTTAGATCCGGCTAATTACTATACAGCACCAGGATTGTCTTGGGATGCCTTGTTAAAACACTCGGAAGTTAAACTCGAACTATTGCAAGACGTAGACAAACATTTATTTTTTGAAAAGGCAAAAAGAGGTGGTATCTCGAGCGTGGGTGGTATGAGATACCACAAAGCCAATAACAAATACCTACCCGACCATAATCCAAACGAGCCGTCGAGTTACATCACCTACCTCGATGCAAACAATCTGTACGGCTGGGCCATGAGTCAATACCTGCCGTACAAAGACTTTAAATGGGCGTCTACAAAAACGTTTACCGAGTCTAAGATATTATCTCTCAGGAAAACGTCAAACACCGGTTACTGCTTTGAAGTAGACCTCGATTACCCGGATAATCTCCACGACCTGCACAACGATTATCCCCTAGCGCCAGAAAATATCGTCATACCAAAAGAATGGATGTCTGATTATCAAAACGAGTTATTGGATACCGAACCTAGTAGCAACGTGCAAAAATTGACGTGTACCCTTAATCTTAAACAAAAATATGTTTTGCACTACGTCACGTTGCAGTTGTATCTCAAACTCGGCTTGAAACTTAAAAAGGTACATCGAGTGCTGCAATTTAAACAAGCTCCTTGGATGGCATCTTACATAAACAAAAACACGCAACTCCGAACAAAAGCGACCTCTGATTTTGAGAAAGACTTTTTTAAACTGATGAATAACAGCGTGTTTGGTAAGACGATGGAAAACGTCAGAAACCGGATTGACGGTTACCTGCTCAGAGACAATAACGATGACGATCGAGATAAATACCAAAAAATTATACAGAAACCGAGCTACAAAACGACGACGTCATTTTCAGAATGCAAATTGTCATTTGTCGAAAAGTACAAGACTAAAACCGTGTTAAACAAACCGATCTATTGCGGAGTGAGTATCTTGGATCTATCTAAGACGCTGATGTACGATTTTTATTACAACCATTTGAAAGACAAGTACAAAGAGAAAATCAGGTTGATGTACACAGATACGGACAGTTTGGTACTCGTAGTGCACACGGACGACGTATACAAAGATATGCAGCAAAACGGGCAACAATACGACCTTTCGAATTATCCGACGGATCATCCTTTGTACGATCCAACCAATAAGAAAGTGATCGGTAAATTTAAAGACGAGTTTGGAGGTAAAATAATCAAAGAAGTTGTTTGCATAAGACCTAAAATGTACTCCATTTTAACCGCTGACATCAACCTGAAAAAAGCCAAGGGTGTCACAAAATCGGTCACCTCTAAGAAATTAAAACACCGACACTATTACGACTGCATCTTAAACAAGAAATCTCATTATGAAACCATGACTCACATTAGGTCGGATAATCACATCCTTTACACCGTATCTCAAAATAAACTATCGTTGAGCCCGTTGGACACAAAGAGGTACATTTTACCGGATGGAATACACACGCTCGCTTATGGTCACCGCAATCTAGATATTAATTAGGCGGTAATTGCGTGTCCTCGGGTACGACTTGAAGCTCTTGTCTCACAAAACTCCTTTTTGGGCCGTTTTGAAGGTAATAAAGAGTAGGACCCGTCGTGACTTTTTTACCGTTAATCATTTTAAATTGACTCGTTCTTTTTTCCACGTTGAAGATATCTACGCTCCAAATGGGATCCGTGGCTCTTCTCGAGGTTCCACCCTCTTGCTCGCCCGGGTAATATAAATATCTAACCATGGCATCTTGCGGTAATTGTTGCTCTTTTGTTTTAACGGGGTTAGCCGGCGATTGCCGGACCTGTTCAAGTTTAACCGCCTCTGACGGTGCTTTAGCTATTAATCTCGTCGTTTCATCATTTATTGCCTTGACCACGCTGGGTAATCGTTCGACCCATTGCGTGTTTCTACTCTCGGGATTTAACATTTCTTGAGCGTACTGATGACCAAACAGTCTCTCGGCTAGCGTTCGGTTAAATCTTTCTACGATACCCTGCGATCGGTGGTTTCCTGGTTCACCTACGATAATCTCGACGTTTTTTGAGGTCATCCATTTTTTAAATGCACCTTTAAATTCGGTACCGGCGTCTACTCTCAACGTTTTAGGGTAACTCAAAGGAGATCTCGCGTAAATCTTGACGATAGCATCTTGGGTGGAATCCGCCGTTTTAGAAACCAAAGGTTCTGCTTCGTGGTATCGACTCGCTACGTCGACAACCGTCAAAGCGTATTTATAAGTCTTGCGTTTTACTTTATCCCAGGGTAGGTATAGCACATCCATTTGGTGAAAATCGTTTGGTGTTTCAAACTCTTGCGATGTACTCGTAGGTCTGGGTACATACGCGGGACCCGGCAGATAAATTTGCCAGATCGCTTGTTTTTTAAGCCAATACGGTTTTCCGGTGCTCGTCTCCGGAGAACCCCTTTGGCACAGGGGGGCGTGAGTGGACATTCTAACAGCCTTCTTGTAGGCAAGAAATCGTTTGGGATCTCTGATTGGTCCACTTGCTGCAGCCAGCACACTTTCAACCAATCCCTGCGGGGGAACTAGGCAGGCTGGCATTGTTTCGCGCGTTTTTCTCCCTTTTCTGCTTTCTTTCGCCGAGCTTCACACACGACAAAATAAAATCCTCCGTACCTTTCGACAATTTTCGACTTCTTCAAATCGCCCAAGAACCCCGCATTATGCCGGGTAACAGAGGCCGCAAGCGCAAGAACCCAAGGGACGGCGGACAGCGGGAAAAACGTCCCCTAGGCCATCATCCTCGCCAAACTCGAGCACAAGCCAGAGCAATGCAGACGTTGCTAAACCCGCCATCGGTCGCCAACAGCGATGCTGCAGGCTACGGTCCCGAGGAACAGCGCCCTCTGTCGTCGGGAGCGGAGGTCATACCGCCTGAGGTCACATGTACTCACGCTGCAGCCACCAGCGTGACCGCGACGGCCGTAAACGCCGCCGGTCGCCCGGTCCACCCCCAGATTCCGGCCAGCCAGCAACCCACACCACTGGCAGGGAACTCGAGCGGGGCTTCCAGCTCCTTTCAACGGCCAGCCGCCCAAGAAACGGCCGCACACGGCGGCAATTTTCAGCTGGGGGCCGCGACATACACCACTGCCGCGACGCCGGCGCCCGTTGCTGGCACCCCGCCGGCTTTCGCACGGCCTTCGCCCATATACACCAGCCCACCTGCCGGCGTGGTTACATCGTCGCCAGTGGCCATCCCCACACCGAGTGCTGCCCCATCCGGTGCCATGCATCCCCTCTACCAGCAGGCCTACGTCAGTGGCATGGCCCCATCATACTTCACCGGTTTTCAAGGTGTTCCAGTGGCACATCCTTCGACTACACCCATACCCGGGTCTTCCACCTCATCTGGCCAACTTGGACAGCCAGCCAAGGGGTACCAAAACCCATCCACCTCGGGTGAGTACAGTGCCAATATGGCCAACATGGCTACTGTTTGTGTTACCCCAAGCTCACAACCCATTTTGAGCATGATGAGTTCTCAACCTGCTCCTTCTCTGTCCAACCAGATCAACCCAACCACCACTGCCATTAACCCTGAGTGGGGAGGGGGGCCCCTACTATCCATATGTGAACCCCTAGGGAGCACGGTATCACCTGGGGTCAAGGAAAAAATTGTAAAAAGCGAGTTTCTAGAACTCGACACGCTCTTGGACCGCCACGGACCTAACCCACAACCTCCCAACCTCACATTCACATTGGATAAGTCAGGCCAATTACGCGTGACTGACACAAAGAAAAAACCGCAGATAAATTCCATTTTGGCATGGACCGATGCATTCCTAGTTTTTGCATCTGTGTTCCTCAGTGCGCACCCCGCGCGGTTGCAGGAGTTACTTAAATACATGCACGTGGTTCGCATGGCGGCTGCACGCTTCACTGGCCGCGGTTGGTTGGAATACGACCGGCAGTTTCGCATGCGCCAGCAATTTCACCCATCTAGGGCATGGTCCATCATTGATGGGGAGCTGTGGGCACTCTACATTGCTGCCCCAGGGCCTTCGTACGTAGGCACAGGCGGGCAAGGGGGGCCCCCACTCGTCGCACCCAAGCGAGCTTACAATTCTTTTCGCTGGCCATCCCGCCAACCCCCCCGCACCAGTAACATCTGCTTTGCATTCAATCGGACCCCGGGCTGCTCAAGGGTACAGTGCCCATTCCCCCACAAATGCTCCGCTTGCTTCTCAACCGGACATGGGGCGTCTGCTTGCAAAACCCCTGCCAACAAGAAAAATACCACTCGTCCCTAGGGGGCTTAGCCCACATCTTCACCCTCATCAGCCTTGTACTAGCTCTCCCAACTGCGTATGTTGCCTCGCGCATTCACCAGTGATTATAGAATGTCTCTTACCATTGCTTGATAATTACCCCAACACAAAGGTAGCAAATACGCTACGCTCTGGGTTCACAACTGGATTCAAATTGGGTTACAACGGCCTCCGCATAGCTAGGGATTCTAAGAATTTATCCTCCGTTAGAAAAAACCCTGAAATAGCACTCGATAAATTACATAAGGAGGTCCAGCTGGGGCGCATGGCGGGCCCATTCGAAACGAGTCCAATTCAAAACCTTAGAATTTCCCCGATAGGTCTGGTTCCCAAAACAGACCCAGGCAGCTTTAGGCTGATACACCACCTCTCCTATCCCGAATCCGACTCTGTCAATGACGGCATTGACAAACAATTATGTTCAGTACAATACACCACCTTTGATGACGCAGTTAGCTTAGTGGTAAGCTCGGGGAGGGGGGCCCTGATGGCCAAAGCCGATATTAAGTCAGCCTTCCGTCTTCTGCCAATCCATCCTGATGATTTTTGCTTATTGGGCATTAAAATGCGGGACAGAATCTTTGTTGACAAAACACTCCCGATGGGAGCAGCATGCGCTCCAGCATATTTTGAGAAGTTTTCCACTTTCATTGAGTGGGCCGTGAATAGACGCTCAGGTTCTGGACACATATGCCATTATGTGGACGACTTCCTGATGGTCGGGGGGGCAACTTTAGGTGGCCCCCTCTCATGCCAGAGCACGTTGGACTGCTTCATTCAAGTTTGTGGGGAACTAGGGGTGCCACTAGCAAACGAAAAAACAGTCCTTCCCACCACAGAACTGACATTCCTGGGGTTGGAAATTAATTCCGTATCGCAAACTGTGTCAATCCCCACAGAGAAACTTATCAACATCACCAAAAAGATTCAGGAGGCAATCCGTCCCTCCAAAATAACCCTCAGAAATCTCCAATCACTCATTGGATCCCTATCCTTTGTGTGCCGTGCCGTCTCTCCTGGACGAGCCTTCCTCAGGAGACTGATCGACGACACAAAAAACGTAAAGCAACCTTGGCACCTAATTAGGCTTTCAAAGGGCGCGAAGGAAGACCTGAACATGTGGCAGGTGTTCCTGCGTAGCTTTAACGGGAGGACAATAATTCCTGACCAGTACTGGGCACTAGACGAAGATCTTCAACTATTCACAGATGCTAGTGGGGGCATAGGATTTGGGGGGTACTTTCTGGGCCAATGGTTTGCCGGGATTTGGCCTCAATCTGTCAAGGATGACAACCCATCCATCGCTTGGCTAGAATTCTTCCCAGTAGTTGTGGCTCTCACACTATGGGGGAAATCCCTTGCCGGGAAGAAAATAATTATCAGGTCAGACAATGAGGCAGTGGTTTCAATAATTAACAAACAGTCATCAAAATGTGGGAAGATCATGAAACTGGTCCGATTTTTTGTCCTCCAGTGCCTCCATGACAACGTTAGCTTCAAGGCCAGACACATTTCGGGAATACATAATAACATCGCTGACGCGCTCTCCCGTTCACAGATGAATCGATTTCGAGAGGTCGCTCCCTCAGCAGCCAAAGACGGGCTGGAAGTCCCACCATTTCTATGGAGGCTATAAACACGGAAGCCCTCCGACTCCTGGGGGCATCCTTTGCGAGTAGTACTTGGGGAACATATAGCAAGGGCGTGGAACAGTTCATCCAATTCCGGCATCATGCTGGCCTCCCACCCCTCTGGCCATCCCCATGTGGCCACATTGCAGCCTTTATTGCCCATCTCTCACTGGAAGGCCTCGCCCCTTCCACAATCGGTACGTATACAGCCGCGGCCGCTTATGTACATAAAATTAACGGATGGCCCGACCCAACCGACAGCTTCATCGTTTGGAAAATGAGGGAAGGTTGCCGCCGCCAGGGCCGTCGCTGCGACCCTAGGCGCCCCATCACGGCAGAACTCCTCGAAAAAATATGCAACATTCTGCGTGCAATCACCTCGTCAAATCTTGAGGCTGCACTTTTCTGTGCCGCATTTTCACTGGCCTTTTTCGTTTTTTTCCGAGTTGGGGAACTAACAACTGCTAGCAAATCCGCCGGGCATGAGCGAACCCTCAACTTTCAGGACGTCTGGTTTGCAAGCAATGATCACTCTGTACTGGTGGTCAGGCTTAGGTTCTCCAAAACTGATCAACGGGGCGAATCTGTTGAACTGCGTTTTCATAGGGATTACCACTCCCCCACTTGCCCCGTGAACATGGTTTCAAGTTACCTCCTCCTGCGGCCACACTTTGCAGGCCCATTTTTTGTTCATGTAGATGGTACACCCCTAACAACATACCAGTTCAGCCAAATGCTGCGTAAATCCTTAGTGGCCCTAGGTCTCCCCCCTCAGGGCTTTAGCCCACACAGCTTCCGCATTGGGGCGGCCACTTCTGCTGCTCTGAATGGAACCCCGGTCCCGCAGATCCAATTATTAGGCCGCTGGAAATCCCAAGCCGTTAATTTGTACATCCGGCCTGACAAAGTCCTCCCTCCCTCCCACACTGGGCTGCCCCAGCTGTAACATGTCATTTGCATCCTCGGTTCTGCTCTTGTTTTTGATTAACTCCGCAGGTACAACACGCACCTGGGTGGTTGGTGACAGCATTGTCTTCCGCGCCGGCGACCATGCCCCAAATGAGCCAGCATTGGGGCTGATCACCTGGCGGGGCGTGCGGGGTGCAAAAATATCTTCGATGATCCCCTCTATCCGGGCACAACTCCAACACTCCCCGGTTCCTACCACCATTGTGATCCACCTGGGGACCAACGATTTATTTTCAATTCCCGTCAAAGAGATCCGAGGCAGGTTGGAGGAGGGCTTACAGGGGTTAAGACACATGCTGCCCCACACACGCATAGTTTGGTCAGACATCCTCCTGCGTCTGTTCTACTATGGAGAAGAGCGCCCGGGTGTTGGCAAGAAAAATGTCAACGCTTTGAATAAGTATGCTCATAGGGTGTGCAAAAACTTGGGAAATGCCCACGGGATCGTGCACTCTTGCACTATCAACTCTAGCCAGCAGTCTCTCTACTGGCGGGACGGCCTCCATCTGTCCACCCTGGGCAGCCAACAGTTCTGCAAGAATATTTCGGCAGCCCTGGCCTTTTTTACATCACACCCATCAGCCCTTCTCCATCCTCCCTCGTCGTAAGTTGCTGTCCATAGCCCACCGGTCAGTTAACACCTCGGTGTGGTCCTTAAAACCAGCCATTCAAATAAATATTACATGTCTTCTGCGCTAAAATTGCTTGGGTCATTTACTGTAGAGTTATCGGTTCCCAGCCAACATGTTATGCACATTGGTCCACTGTTCAGGGGGGGGGGGGGGGGGGGGTTGGCAAGTTCCTGTATTCGTAACTTGTTTGGCAGAAATGAGGGGGGCGGGGACACGCCCAAGGTGGAACTAGGGGGGTTAGGAAATCAGAACGACTAATTTTGTATAAAACCAATCACCAGAATCTTAATTCTAGCTAATCACCTAATATTCTGATTACTCTATATCTTGATTATAACCCTTGATCCTAAAGTTTTCATTGCCACCGTTCACTTTGGCTATATATTTTATATAACTGTAAGTGTTGTTCATATCTGTGGGTTATTGTAGCTTGATAAACCATTGTATTAAGACTCAGTGTAATTTATTTGGTGTAACTTGCCGCGCTTAGTATACCTGTAACTTTATGCTTAATTGCATGGTTTGGTGGTTTACAACACTCATTGTCATCGTTATTTGATTAACAAACTCTTGCATTGCGGGGCCTCAACATACATGTACAGTGTAATAGTAGTGTGGTTTACAACACTCATTGTCATCGTTATTTGATTAACAAATTCTTGCATTGCGGGGCCTCAACATACAGTGTAATAGTAGACAATGCAAACACTGTAATATTGTATTGGTTAATACATGTAGGATACATGGGACTGTATCATCAAGAGCAATAAACGCTCGGCGAAGGTTAGCCGAAGCTGACCACATTTATCCATGTCCGTGTGCTCTCTCTCGTCCTCTCTAGGGCCAATACGGTTTTCCGGTGCTCGTCTCCGGAGAACCCCTTTGGCACAGGGGGGCGTGAGTGGACATTCTAACAGCCTTCTTGTAGGCAAGAAATCGTTTGGGATCTCTGATTGGTCCACTTGCTGCAGCCAGCACACTTTCAACCAATCCCTGCGGGGGAACTAGGCAGGCTGGCATTGTTTCGCGCGTTTTTCTCCCTTTTCTGCTTTCTTTCGCCGAGCTTCACACACGACAAAATAAAACCCTTCCCTCCCTCCACCATTTAACCAGTTAGTACTCGGCTTACACAATTTTAGTTAGCCCCATGTTTGGGAGTAGCCACTTGCACGTTGGAGGTAACCCCTTTGAGGCTAGAGGCAGAGCTGGAGCACATCTTACATGAATGTCATTGACAAGTAAGAAGGGGATGGGGCAGATGTAGACAGGTCCAGACTGGGCGTCAGTCGTCGCCTTTCTTCTGGGCTGGGTCTGTTGGGCATAATTTATACCTCAGGTGACGTGAGGTGGGATTTGGTGTAATCCCGACATGTACACACCTCCCTCGTGGAGGCTGGATTTTGTTCAGCCATGTTTTCTTGTGGACTGTCTGAAGCCCCCCTGGTCAACAGTTTTCCCGCAGGCTTTGATGCCAGGCACATTTTTATGCATATATTGCTTTGCAACCTGTTTCTTGCCAGGGGGCATTTGTACTCCCAACATCTCTAGCATGCTGCTAAGTAGACCCCTCCCCAGTTCTCACAGTACACGTATACTACTGCTCTGGGGTCCCCCATATGACTCGCGGGCCTGGCCTGCTCTCGGGGACCCATATCTCAGCTCTGACCACATGAAAGGCAAACTCACTAGTGCGCCGGGATGGCCTCTCTGGGCCTGTGGCCGCCAATCCCTGCATTCTAAAAACAACTTGCCTCTCCCCAACTTGGGGATTCTTCCCCCTGGCCTCCTTCTGTATCTTGGAAGGACGGGGGAGGGGGCAGAAATGAGGGGGGCGGGGACACGCCCAAGGTGGAACTAGGGGGGTTAGGAAATCAGAACGACTAATTTTGTATAAAACCAATCACCAGAATCTTAATTCTAGCTAATCACCTAATATTCTGATTACTCTATATCTTGATTATAACCCTTGATCCTAAAGTTTTCATTGCCACCGTTCACTTTGGCTATATATTTTATATAACTGTAAGTGTTGTTCATATCTGTGGGTTATTGTAGCTTGATAAACCATTGTATTAAGACTCAGTGTAATTTATTTGGTGTAACTTGCCGCGCTTAGTATACCTGTAACTTTATGCTTAATTGCATGGTTTGGTGGTTTACAACACTCATTGTCATCGTTATTTGATTAACAAACTCTTGCATTGCGGGGCCTCAACATACATGTACAGTGTAATAGTAGTGTGGTTTACAACACTCATTGTCATCGTTATTTGATTAACAAATTCTTGCATTGCGGGGCCTCAACATACAGTGTAATAGTAGACAATGCAAACACTGTAATATTGTATTGGTTAATACATGTAGGATACATGGGACTGTATCATCAAGAGCAATAAACGCTCGGCGAAGGTTAGCCGAAGCTGACCACATTTATCCATGTCCATGTGCTCTCTCTCGTCCTCTCTAGGGCCAATCTCTGATTACCTTTTTATCGATTTTTGTTTTATCGTGTAAATGGTCGACGGCGCTTTCACCTCTCCAATAACCACTCGGGCTATAATACAGTTTAGATAATGTTTGCATATTATTTAATATAAAAGACGTTTATAATAATATGGCTAGCGTTGCTATGATGTTAGGAGGCGCGATCGTCAACGCTTTAGCTTTTACGGGTTCAAACTTTTTCTTTTCAAATCTGAAACAGAGTGGTGTCGACGAGGAGCGTAAGAGACACGATTTAGCGATAGAACAACTCTCGGCCGCCAAAGATAAGTGGCAACGAGAACGAACGAAATATCTAGATTTTCTCAACGAACGTATCAGAAAACAAAATGCCTCTAAAGAAACATTTTCCAACGTAGACCGAGCGTTGCGTCACTACAACGAGGTGAGTGGACAATCTACCGAACTACCCGTAGGACTGCAACGCGAACCCAAACTTGAAGATTTTTACGAGCCTAGCGACCAACAAATAGAAAGAGAACTGGTGTTTATCGCGGGAGGAACGCTTTTGGTGGGCTTCTTGGCTTACAGATACCTTTAAATTTAAAACTCGTATAAATAAAATGAATGCGTATGGAAAAAAGCTCAATCCCAGCAGGCTATTAAAAATACCCAGATCTATCAAGGGTGAGAGAAAAGAGGTGGTCATTACCCACAATCCCAGTAGTATATCGGCGGGGCAAACGCTGAGGGTCAAGTTTCCTCAATTGGGCGTAGACGACGTGATCGTACCCGGCACTTGTAAACTAGCTTTTAGTTTAGAACTCGAAGGTGGAAGCGACGACAATAGAACCATTTTTGGTAATTTAGCCAGAAATTTAGTCAGCGAAATCAGCGTCAGGCTTCAAGGTCACGAAATCGTAAGTTATCGTCACGCCGACGTGTATCACAACTTTAAAGACAATTGGATCAACAGCTCGACAACTCGAAACATGGCGTACTCGGGCATAGAAAAAGAAAACGTGTCTAAACTAAGAATTGGGGCTGGAGATGCTAACGCGGGCGCCAACAGCGGTAAAGATCAGGCTATCGCGGATGCCTATGGTAACAGATATTGTATTCCCCTAGACATTGACATACTGACTTCGCATCACCCTTTTTACCCCAGCGGTTTAAAACAACCTCTGACGTACGAGATAAAGTTTAACGATCACGAAAAAGTAGTCAACAGTTCAGATACGGCGGCGATGTATTCTATCTCAGACTTGTCTCTCGAATACGAAGTGGTGACCAACAGAGACCTAGCTATCACCATCAGAAATAAACACAAGGGGTTAATGCAATATCTGTTTGATAAAATCCACTCGCTAGAAGTTAGATCCGTCAACAAATCGGACACGCTTTGGAACGTCAGCGTCAATCAACCCATCAGGAGTCTCAAGGGTATTTTGTTTTTGTTTAAAGATCCCGCGGTCAAAAATCCGCAGCGATTTTACAATCCAAAAATAACCAAAACATCAGTGACCGTAGAAGGTAAACCCAATCAACTCTACAGTCAAGGCATGTTTCAGTATCAACACTGGAATGAAATTAGCAAGTTCTTTGGAGACAGCGATACCGAAAGCGGGCGCGGAGTAGCTAAAGACTTAAATTTGACGGGTTTTGACCTCGGAGACTACCTAAAAGACAAGTACGGTCTGTGGCTCGATTTTAGAAGTAACGACGACAACTCCGCTCACGGATCTGGTAGGAAACTCGGAGACGGAGGAGGCATCAACATTCAATTTAACAGAGAAGCCGAAAGTCAAGGTGACCTCACGATGTACGTATTTTTGGTCATGGATGCTCAATTGAACTTGGAAGACGGGAATTTTAAATCTCTGTTAAGTTAAAATGACACAACCGCATTGCACTTTAATCGTCGGCAAAACAAATTCGGGCAAAACCAAATGGATTTTGGATCTGTTAGAGTCAGACTATAAAAATACATTTGAAGCGATAGTCATCATTTGCCCTACCATATTTAAAAACAAAACGTACATCGAAAGAAAGTGGATTCAAGCAGATCCCGAGGTATAC